TGGATGAGGAACAGACGAATAATCGAAGTGACCAACAACCAGGATCTTCCTCGAACAATGAAACGACGCTTTTCTCAACAAAATGGCTGACTACTCGAGACCTCTTGAGTATGTGACGTCTGCTAAAATCTAAAATTTTTGTTTTTCTTCTAAATATATGTAACTTTTTATTTTTAATTTACAATTTATTATACCCTTGAAGTCTGTAGAAGAGTAATCTGGCCTAACTTTCCAAAGATTTGATGACACCCTTTCTAATTTTCGGATTTCCATTTTTTTTGTCAATACCTTTCAATTTTTCAATGACTTTTACCTATTTTTGTATTCATAATACAGTGAAAGTATCATCTCATTTTTCTATTCCAAATTGAAGACTCAAGGTAAATTTCGAAACTACTCATGAAAGTACCTTGATTTCCAAGAATTAGAAAATGGGATGACGCACGGACAATTGCCCTTCACTACCTTTCGTTTTTTTTTTGGAATAATTCACCTATGAAGCCTATACAATCACTGATGCTGCTAATTATATAAATACCGCCCGAAAATCGTTTTCTGGCAGTTCGATTTCGACCAGGATATCACTGGTTAGCTCCGCGTCGGTCGGCTCCGGGCATTAAATTCTTCGGAAGCACAAAGTACTCCGTGATACACGAGACAGTGCCTTGCTCGTGGTTAGGTTACATTCAGTAGCACTAACACGGTAAATTCATTCGATATTCGCCATAGTTATATTCCGTTTTCTTCTTTTTATTATTTTCCGCCGTTGAGCGTCGATTTTTGTTTATTCCGCCGTTGAGCGTTGATTTTTCCGCAACAATCGCGAAGTATATTGTTTCTGCCGTTGAGCGTCGATTAGTGTTAAGTTTTGCGCTTAAAGTCGCGAAGATTAATTCATTATTTGTAATTACTCAGTTTCTCCGTGATACACGAGATCCGGTAATTCGGTTGTGAAAATATCTTAGCGTCGATTGAGTTTTTCTAAGTTTCTCGTAAAATCGCGAAGATACAAATAATTCATTATTAGTAAATACTTAAATTCTCCGTGACACACGAGATACGGTATTTCGATAGTGAAAACTACCCATAGAAGGTGAAAGGGCCCATTAAATTTGAGCCTCTCTACAGACTCCCAGGGTAAGCCCAAAACATTATCTACCTTTAAGACATTATTTCTTTCTAACATTTGTGTCTTTTATCTCTATATCTTTATTAACCGTTTTGTAAACCCAAATTTGTAACACTTTTACTTGTTTTTCTCAATAAATTCAAACAAATAAACAAGTTGATTCTCTCATTTTACTTTTAAAACAAAATAAGATCTCCTTTAGAAAATAAAGTTACAACTAAACAATAGAATAGGTTACTCGAGACCGAAGTCAGCAGGATCCATCATCCTTACTCTCTCTAAGTTAACACTTAGAGATAACGTTCGAACTTGTGTACCGCTCCACACTCCAACGCAATTTTTAATTTAGCTCCCGAACGGACAAAGTGATAACGTTCGGATATTTGAGATTTCTACTTCATATTCCTTGCGCCCATCACTCACCCCGTTCGTGACAAT